CTCCCCCCTGCCACAGGGAGCAGAGAGCAGCCAGCGGAGTCAGGGGTGGAGGAGAGGAGTGACTCAGTGGGGGAAGGGAGGGAGTGGGGCCGGGAAGAGCAGGCAGGAACCAGAGGTGGAGCGCAGGGGAGGCCACGGCCCACACGTCCGTGCCCCCAAAGGCAGTGGGTCAGCGGGTGTTTGGGGAGGCTTGGTCTCCTCTGGCCTCTGCCACAGGGAGCAGAGAGCAGCCAGCGGAGTCAGGGGTGGAGGAGAGGAGTGACTCAGTGGGGGAAGGGAGGGAGTGGGGCCGGGAAGAGCAGGCAGGAACCAGAGGTGGAGCGCAGGGGAGGCCACGGCCCACACGTCCGTGCCCCCAAAGGCAGTGGGTCAGCGGGTGTTTGGGGAGGCTTGGTCTCCTCTGGCCTATTCTACCCAGCGCCCATGGCAACAAACCCCTCTTCGCTGGTGCTGTGCAGCTAGGAGAAGTGTGAGCAGGCAGGGAGCGCCTGGAGTCCTGTCTGAGCGGCTCTCTTCCGTCACCCGTGGGCCGTTGCCTGCCCGGCGTGAGGCCCCCACATGCGGCTGCACCTCCGTGGTGTTCTGTCCTGAACCAAACCTAGCGTGCGACGGGGTAGGACGCCTGTGCGGTTGTGGGTGGGGTCTTCCTGGGGGTCTTTTCCTGGGGCAAACCGTCGGCGCCACGGCTGAGGAGACGCCAAGTCAGTGTATTTTAGGCGTACGCCTGGAGGCTAAGAACCTCGCCAACATGGGTTTTGCTAACGCCGTAACACACCCTTGTCAAATTAGCAGTTGCAGCACTTCGTGTTCTGGAACATTCAGTGCCAGAAAGATGGCCCTGAAAATTATTTAGAGGAAAGCCAAAACTCTTCCTATCTGCGACTTCGAACAGGTGGCAGGCTCTAGCCCCCGTGTGGGCGGCCACCCAGTCGAGATGGTGGGAGTGTGATTTACCCTCCCGTGGCTCTGTTGTGGTAAAGTGGCACTGAGGCAAAACCGGAAGCCCACACTATGGAACAGGTGTCAGTGATGAGGTACCTCATCAGGACAGTGTTTCACAAACCAAGCACCCTGGCAAGTCAAGAGATGACGATTCCTAGATCCTGACACCTGATGGGACCACGTTGATCTTTTAATCTCATTTTTCATGTGGCACAGCCCAGAGAACGTGCCCACAATAATTCCCAGAGCAGAATCTTTGGGGGGAGATCTGACCTACGGGGCTGAAACGTGGCCCCTCGTGGTCAAGTTAGAAAAGGAGGAAGAGAGGAAGCGTCTCGGAAAGACGGTTTGAATTCAAGTCGAATGAAGAGATCCATCTTCTGCCGCTGCAGGTCCTACCTTCTCAGCTGGTTGGCCAAGGCTCTCTCAGGCCAACTGGCCATTTGCGCTGAACGCCTCCCAGTTGATCAGTGGCTAACTAGTGTCAAAATGACGGCTCATCATTGAGTGGATGGTTTTTAGTGTGGTCCAATCAAGGCGGAATTAATCTTTGGTGGGCCACACGCCTGCCCCTGGCTTCTCCCCCGCTCACCCTCAAGGCCTCAGGAGGCCATATTGAATTATCACAATTGTCCTTTCTGGCCTTGGACTCTATGAAGAAAACACAAGTATGAAAAAGCTGCCCTACCAGAGTCATCTTCAACTTTGACCTAGTGAAACGAGGAAGAAGGACCCCCTGGAGCCACGGAAGCCATCGGTAGGACCTGTTGTATTCATTTAGATGGACCAACAGCGTTAACGTCACCTCGTCACTGCTCAACGTTAAACAAGGTTCGTTAGTTGGCAGAGCCTTGAGGCAGCTCAAACCCACCATTAAAACCCCTCTACGCTTTTATTAAAGATAGAGGAAAAAAGGAAAACATTTGCATTGCAAAGTGTTGCATCAGGCTTTGGAACAACATCCCTGTTTCCTTTCCCTGGAGGCTGGCGGACGTTTTAGCAGGACAAACCCCTTTGTTTGGCATCTCTACTAACTGTGGGGGAAGAGACGATGTTAGCTGAGCCAGGTGGCTGGTGTAGCTGCTGTGGAAGTGGAAGTCCAAGCTTGGTTCCCATAAGACACACCAAGAGAAACGCACACACGATGGGAGAGTGAAGAACAGCAAAATGTGCCGTCCTGCCTGTCTAAGCCAGACTCCTAGGCTATGTCTACACTACAGTCATTTCCGCAAAAACATATGCAAATGAGGCAAAGCGTGGAATATCACTGTGCCTCATTTGCATAATTAACGAGGCTCCGTTTTTGCGCAAGAGCCGTTCTTCTGGGGAAAAAAAATGCAGAAGAATGGCTCTCACGCAAGAGGGGGTTTTTGCGCAAAAAGGAGCCGCGTACACGGAGCCTCGTTAATTATGCAAATGAGGCACGGCGCTATTCCATGCTTTGCCTCATTTGCACACGTGTTTGCAGAAAAGGCGATAGTGTAGACATAGCCCTAGCGAGAAGGAAAGGGGAGAGAGCTAGGAGCGAGAAGTAAGGGAAGGCAAAGGACGTGGCGGTGGGGGGAAACGAGAGACAAAATCTCACTTCCTAGGCCGTAGCTGGGATTCAGCTAGAGCGGATGGAGGTGCCTGTGTGATCCGGGTCCCTCCCTCTGGCCCGGTTTGGTCAGGACATCTCGGGGGTGCAGGATGGCGAAGGCCGCGGTGTCTCAGGAGGTGGTGGGGGCAGTAGCCAGGGTGGGGAAGCTCAGTCCCTTCTTTCAGCCATCCAGTGTCCCCAGCAGTCCCTGTGCGTCCGTCTGGATTGTCTCCCTTTGTAAGGACCCCAAGGGGGGCGAGCGGAGGACTAGCCCTTCCCCTCATGTTATCGACCACTTAGGCCTAATTCCCAAGAAAGCCGGTTTGGGTTCCAGTCTCCCGCTGCTCTGGTTTACCAGGCAGGAACGTAAGCCAGCCCTTGAGCTGTATCGGGAGGCTTTTCGGTTTGGACCATTGGTTCTCGACCTTTCTACCGTTGTGGGCCACAGCCACAGCCCTCACCGTGTTACGTGGGCCATGTCCACAGAATCGATATACCGCCGGTGTGACCCTGAGGAGGTGACATGGGCCACAGCTGTGTGCTGATTGGGCAGCGGGTCGAGAACTGGTTTAAATTAATGAGGTCTTTCCTGCTTTCTTACCTTTCCCCAGGAGCACTGGGGGCGCCTACGGTGACAGAAACCAGCCCTTCGGCACTTGTCACCCTCACCCCTCCAAGGACCAATACCACGGCTGTTCAGACCACCACACCCACGTCTGTTACCACGTCCCTAAGGGAAACAACATCAGCTGTGGACAGCATTACAGAAATCCTGGTGGGCAACAGCTCCACGAGCGTGTCGAGTACTGCAACAAGTGAGAGCACAGTCCCAGTGCCTCGCACCACAGAAAGGGGAACTTCAACAGGCACTGCGACAGTGACAGTCAACACCCGTTCAACAACTAACACAATCACCACACCCCTGGAGACTACAGCCGGAAGAGGGAGCATCCCAACAGCTTCTCTTGTCGCCATGGCAAACACAGCTGCAACACAAGGGGCTGTGCCTACAGTGTCAGAAACCAG